CCCCCTACTTACCAGCACTGAGTCTGGGTCCAGCTCCCTGTGGCAGTGAATGTGGACTACCCAAATCTCCAAAGCTTTCTGAATCTTTTTCGAATCAATTTGGAGAGCTTCAAATTGATTCAGAACTTTTAATTGGTCTCCTGATTCAATTCAGATTCAGAGACTTTGCCACTGAATCAAGCCAAATCTTCCCCGAATTGAATCAGCACCCGAAGCTTTGCATAACCCTAGCTCTCAATTTCCTTAATTCTTGTATTCCCTGCACATTCTCCCACTGGCTGCATGAACTGTTCTCCCTTGCCATATTTCAATGAAGGGAACTTGATGTTCTTTACAGACTATTTAAAAAACCCTTAGATTTTTTTTTCCCATTGGGAAATGTTTCTTTGTTACCTCTTGCATCATGAAATGTTTTACTTGCATTTACAGTAGGTCTGACTGCTATGCCAGCTGCTCTGGGTCTAGCTGAGAAATCAAATGAAATGTTTTTGAAAACTCCTGGTTCAAAATCTCAATTACTGGATGATCTCTTATGCACACATTTTTACTGATGTAAAAAATGCTCTTTTATTTCTTCATATGAAGCCTTCATACTTTCTGTAAGTTTTGAACCCTTTGGTAAAAGCAGTTTCCCCTGCTTATTTGGAATGAAATGCTTATTATAGTTTTTAAAGGAAAAAAATCTCTCTCAGATTTTTAAATCTCCTTTCTTATCAAGTACAAGCAATTTATACGTAAATTCTGCTTCACTTGCCATTCAGTATATTAAATGACCTGATCTATACCTGGCCAATCTTTGCAACAAGTTTTACTGAAAACTACAACAGCTTTGTGAAGTTGCATAGCTTTACCAAACTTAAATACTTAGACATTAACTTTGCCATTAATTTTACCTAAAATGTAAGCCAGTTCAAATTGAGCCAACTTCTGATAAAGAAGCACGGAAAGTTTCTTTCTTCTGGTGCAAAAGGTGGAACTTTGCTGGAATAAGAAACACGGTTAATTCCCTAAACCTGCACTCACTCTCACTCCTTTGTAGAGCCCCAGCCACACATCCTGAAAGCCTCCGAGGAATATGATGTAAGGTCAACACAGGGAATATGGTCATTCTTTAGCATTCATCTCAGAAAAAGGTTCTAGGCTAAGTACAGAGAGTCAAAAAACCCAAGGCTGAATTGATTCAAATGTCTCAGGTTAGTTTAAGCTGCAAAGATTGAACTGCTATGCAAGTGAATACACATTCACTTTTGATTCCAGAAACGCAGCAACATGCCTGCAGTGACTTAGGCCAGAAGTGGGAGGGGTGAGGGGGGTGGTACTAGAACATCCTAGAGCAGACAACCCGGGCCAAGACTAGCCTACCCACCGTGCAAGGGCAGGAGAGCAGGTATGCAAGGGAGGTGCAAAGCATCCTGGGATGCTGGGGGACTGTGAGTTAACTTGAATCTGGAGGGGATCTGGGACAGAAGTTCAATAAACTAATTTAACCTAAATCAGTGACATCTGATACTACAGCAAAAGCTCTGTTATCTGGCACCCATGGGAAATGGGGGTGCCGGATACTAAATGTGCCAGTTTGCCGACCAGGCAAAGATGCTCCTCCCACCACGTCCACTGCATCCACATCTCACATTAACTGTGCTGCCCCTCCTGCCCCTATCCTGGTGTCAGTGTGCCAGGGGAAAGGGAGGGGGAGCTCCGCGCAGGCTGCTTTCCCCCGTGCAGGCTGCTTTCCCCCAGGCTGTGGGATTCGACAAAACTGTAAGTCTCACTTCCAGTTTCCCTTTTGCCACATTGACCGGCTTCAACTGGCATGCCGGTTAATAAAGCATGCTGGTTAATGAAGTACTGGTTAACACGGCTTTTACTGTACATTCATTCAGCTTTATCTTAAACCAGTTTTGGCCATTTTGACAGCAATATATATATACAGAACTTCTGTTGTCTTACAGATTTGAACCAGTTCCCAATTACTTGTACCAGTTTATGTGTAATTTCTGTTCCTAACCCTAAAGGGAGAGGCACCAAAAGAGTACTTTTCAGCTTCTGGGAGAAACCTAAATAAAGAAGCCACATGCTGATTGCATCAGTAGGTTGTCACCTGCAATGGACTGTTGATATAGCCATGCAATAACAGTAAAAGAAAAACCCTTTGCAAAAATCTTATTGGGCATAGGCTAAGTGTAGGGGGTGGTACAGGGAGGCCCCTTAGATTGGCTGCTGCAGAAGCCACTGCTGGCTTCTTCAGGCAGCCACTGCTTGCACCCACCCCCCTTCCCCCACCCTTGCTGCCGATGTATCCAGTGGCATCTGTGGGCAGTCCCCACTTGCTATTCACCCCACCACCACCACCCACACCAATGCTGGCAGCTGTGGGCAGTCCCCACATGGGGACATGCTGGCAGCTTGCCACCATGGTGCCCCAGTCTCGGGAGGCACCAGTTGTTCATGTTATTGGGTACAGACAGGCAAAATAAATTATACCAAGTAAAAAAGATGAGGTGATTTGCTGGGCATTAAACTGATCTGCTGTAACTGGTGTGTCTGCTCTATCCTGTGGTAAGTGGAAACTAAACCAGGCCTAACTAAACTAAACAACTAGACTAATAGGTTGAAACAACTGCTCAGTCACTGCAGTTTAACTTCCACTTGCTACAGAATGGGACTGACACACTGAACGGTTATAGCATCCAACTTAAACCCCAGCAACTCCCTCATCTGTTTAACTTGGTATAATTTCTTTATCTGTTCATATCCTCAGTAGGAAGCAGAAGGCATAGTTCATTTCTGGCAAACCCTCATTGGATGCACTTCGTGTTTGTATAATACCTAAGGGCAAGATGTTTCTGTAGGTTGCCTAAAACATATATTATTTATCTCATTTTCCTCTATATTATTTAACCTCTCAAATACTGCATGTTTTACTCCTTTCCTAATAAATGTGTCACACTGGGCAGTGCTGTTTGGTAGTTCATAGATTTCAAGCTGCCTATGATGTATTACTCATTTTTCAGCTGCTCTGCATTGGCTATAAATTGGTTACACAAGATGAAGCATCAGGCATAGGTTTAGAATGAACCAAGTGATTGTTTGCACTAAAACCAAAGATTTAACTCATGTTAAGTTTGTGGGTTAAATTTTCAATAATAAAAGCTCACTCCTGTAACAAAATTAATGCTGTGTGAAAGATCAAGCTCTCTATACTCATTGGTAATAGACACTGCAATGCTCTGCAAACCTATAAATTGTCAGATCCACGCATAATTCATGACCAGAATGCAGAATATGAGCAGTCAAGTTTCAAATTGTTTGCTCTCTCTCTCTCTGTCTGTCTCTCTCTCTCTCCCTTTATCTATCAAATTGCAGAAATATAGCAAGAATTAGAAAGAAAAACA